CATTTCTATCGGGTTTTGGGCTGAAAAATTATCTCGAAGATTGTTTGATGCAGTTCACAGCCTTGCCCTTCTTAAGACCTAAACCGCCGTAGTGCCCGATGCGCACGTCCGCGAAGATGGGAAGACCATTTCAGGGTAAGTGTTTCAAGGTCACATTGGCATTCGTAGCGTCGTACCAACGTCATTCAAATCCTGCCATTCGATAACCCATGCGGCGGTGAAGGCCAAGTGAAATGTCATCGTCGAGTCGTTCACATCTGGCGTTCGTAAGCACGATTTCCAGATATAACGGCCGTCAATAGGCTCTCAATCAATGTTGGGCAAGGTATGATGACGTTTTTAAACAATGACATGTGACAACTGACAACTGCAACCGAGTCGTGGACGTAAAAGCATGCCGTCGTGCAAGAAAAAAGAGTATACTCAAGCAAACACGGTACGAACGTGGAGCGTTTGCAGTGTAACTAGCTCAGTCAGCTATATTCACGTGAACATGATATGGCAGCTTTTATTTTCGTTGCTTCCTCTTCCTGAAAAGCAGCTAGTGGAAACTTTCTTTTAAAATGGCAGGATCATTATTTCCCATTTGGAATGTCCAGCTTGTACTTTTGGTCCAGAAGGATGGAAGGGCCGAACTCAGTTTTTTGTGGTGGGGGGGGGGGGAAATCGGACCGGGGGGGCAGGGGCCCACCCAAAAGCACACAAATCGACACCCGTGCTTTCTCATGTAAAGTTCTCGCGTCGTTGACCAGCGCACCTACCCGGCCGTTACCGCGAGGTACCAAAAGACATCACCAGGTTCTGTCAGTGCACCGTGGTTCAGTGTCACGCACACTTGCTCCGCCTGCCACACAGCATGGGTGTGCGGGCACGAAAGGGTATGTTTAGTGTTCACCAACGCTGGCAAAGCACACCAGGAAGAGAAAGCTGAGCTCATTGCACCTGTCGATTACAAACGTTACTCGAATCGAGCACGTTTCTTTTTGCTCTAGGCACTGACGCGCATCTAAGCATTCTTTTTTACCAACAGGCGATTACAAATGCGCAATGTTATATCGATGAGAACACAGCATGCAGCTATTTAAGTACGGGTAATGAAATTCCCGCCATGAAAGCCGCAGATTCCCACCGTTTTTAGCCCGTCCCCAAGAATCTACCTCCGAGTGGCCACAGTGCAGAGCGACCCGAATAGCTGAGCTCCACGGCTTACATTGGGCTTGCGCCGGAATGAAACGAGCTCCTCCATCGCGCATGCGCACTACCCAGCTATAGCACCTGGCACACCTGATTCTGAGTTTTTCCATCACTCGGCGGTGGCCGGCTTTGGTCTCCTGAGTCGGCACAGTCGGCAGCTATTTCCGCCACCCTGCGACAAGTCCCCGAACCAGCTGCTCACTGGTGCCATGTGCAGCGGAAGCCCACGCCACCTCCATTGGACAGCACCCGCCCGCCATTCGAACCGCCCGCACCATGCCAACCGTGGGACGGCTGCGCGAGCGCCACATCGGGGAGGATGAAAAGGTTTTCACTTGGTTGCAGCGGGCGCCGCAGAGCTAGGAAACTCCCGAACTTCCCGTTCGGCAATGACGTTGGCCTGATTCACTGGCTGAGCCAAGGGTGGAACCGGCCGCGGCAATGAAGCGGTCCTGGACTCCACGCTGTACTGTACTGCGTTACGTAACTGTGCTTAATCTGCGGATAAGTGAACTCGCCGTGCTTTTATTACTTGCCCGTGCGCACAGACAGCATAACCGTCTACCGTAACGCAGCTTCTCCTATCCCTTGCTTTGCGACAGATCTCAAAAGCCGATTGAACGCCTCTTTGGTTGACTTTTAGCCAGAGGAAACTTCCCCCACGCGGCTTGGTTTCGGGTCGCCGGGACAAAAAGGAAACACTATCACCTGTCGCGACTGACATCCAAAGACGAAAGGCTATGCAAGAGATTTGGATCACGGACTGGCTCCAATATGTGTTCCGTGAATAGGAGACCATTGGCTCCTGTATTCGATGCCTTTAACCCTTTCGACTCGAGACCACCTGAACTGCGGTCCCTAGAAAACAGTCGTGTTGCTGCTTGTACCAGCTGTGAGAATGGAACGAGCGATTATGTTTTCGCCCAACAATCGACGTTATGCATTTGAGAGGGCAAATATCTTTCTGAAAATGCCACCATTGGATCATTCGACGATGCTAAAACAGCAATAACCATAACATAGCATTTGCAATCCCTGGCGCTTTTTCGCCGCAGTGGGCTAAATACGTATGTAAGCGATCCGCGGGATTAAAACCCCAGTCTCAGAATCCACCATCAGATGTGCTGCCGGTCCTGCAGCTATTGTTCGTCGCCATATGTTCTCATGAAAACCTTTACAATGACTGTAACACGGGTTTATTCCTTTGCCTTGCTTGATGCCTCGTCCAGCGCAGCAATAAACATCTCACACTTCCTAAGCATCACTTTCGCCGCCTCCGCGAACAGCACCTCCGGCGTCTGGGCACCGACCGATTCGATGCTGAAGATGAAGTGGTCCTTCACCTTCCCCAGCACCACAGCGTCCTTCAGCTCGTCGTACCGGTACACGTTCCTGCTGCAGTTATCGTACCTCGCGTCGCCCACACGTGCGATTTTCTCTCCCGACGGCCCGTCCTCCAGCAGTATGACCCCGGGGCTGAAGCACTTCTGGAGCTTCTCGGCCCACTCTCCCCTCACTTCCCTGGTCAAGGTCACCTCCGGCAGCAGCCGGTAGAAGGCTGTGGCCACCGGCGAGAACTTGGCGTGGTCGCGGCCGATGCCTTTGACGGCGTGCAGCTTAAGATCAATCTCATGGCCAGGACGCATCTTCGCGATGAGGATGTCTTGGTGCACGGTTCCCACCTGCTCGTCGGTGTACAGACCCTCTTGCGTTGCGTGGGGACAGAACTTGATGGCACCTGAGTACACATTGGAGTTAATGTACTTCTCGGCCGGGTTGGCGGCGTCGCTTGGGGCGTTTGGGTTGACCTTGCATTTGACCTTCAGCTCAAACTCGAGTGTGTCTTCCGGCTTGCCAGCATCTTCACTGGAGCCCTTGTACTCAAACATCAGGGGATTCGCTTTCAATGGGATCAACCCCATCCTGTGGGCAAGAACCTCATCCTGCAGAATGCTGGTGTTGTTGTAGATGTGCACTTTCTCTATGGCCATACTTGGGACTTCCGCGATAAGTATTCGCCTGAAAGCATTAGCGATCGGCGCATCAATACCAATGAGGTCGAACTCCGACTCTGTGTCAGTCAGCTTCACAAATTGAGCCTTGAACTTCTCTTTGAACCGTTTATGCCACGCCTCGTACGTATCATCACAACTACTGTAAGAGCCGGGCACGTTGGTCATTTCAGCTCCAACGGTTTCATATTCTTTCAATATCACCTTGTTTCTACCGCCAGATATCATTTTGACGGTGAGGCAGTAGAAAGACAGCTGTTTACTCCAGAACTTCTCTCAGCTGGAACTGTCGCGCCAGCGACGGTCGCCAATTTCTTCCTTGGGCGGCACCTAAACCGAACTCAGCGTCTTGGCGGCTTCAACACGCTTCATCCATTGCAGAGCGATGCAAGGCCAACTGAAAGATACATGTCATTGTGAGATACATCAGGCATAACAGCGAAGGTGCGCCTCAGTTTCAGCACACCTCATGGATGCTTCTTTTCAGCATAAACCTCATCACCGGAGTACAGAAAATGTGGAATGCAGAGAACAAAACATGCAAGAGCATGACAAAACCTCCATTCACACCAGAAATCACCATCAGTGATGAGAGAATATAAAGACCACTTCTTGTCACACTTCCACACCATGCACCAAAATGCCTAGATGTTGAAATCATGCCCCTCCCTCATCACAAAACATCACAAGCCCTTCAATATACTCAAAAATATTGTGGATAAAAGTGGGATAGCTCTCACAATTAAAAGAAGAAATGAGTAGGGCCATGTGGCCAGAAAGCTGTCTTAGGTAGTACCAAACATAAGACAAAGTATGCTGTGTCTGAAATGACTGCAATGCGTAATATATCGAAGCACAACAACCATGGATGGCTCAAGGACAGAGACCTGGGAGTCAAATATGTACACAGTAATAGACAAAATTCAAATTGCTAAGCCCACAAAAAAACAAATGGCACTACCAATTACTGTCTGATAGGTTCATCCTCATTTTGGTCTGTCATGAAGTTTGTTTCTACATATTTGTGTTCTTGTATTGGTATGCATCACATATATTTTTTCATGGCTTTTTCAGAATGTGTATTAAAACTCATGTTCCCATATACTGCCAGTTGCTACAATACACAGAGCATTATAAAATCTGCAGATGTCCATTAGATGTAATACTGCTGACATTTGCTGAATCAAAATTTAAATAGGAGAGGTGAACAGTGCTGCACGCACCATAGAGGAATGGAAACATTGGGTCCATATCGATGCTTTATTTGCCAACTTCCATCAGCCTGTCAGAAACTAAACATGGACCTTTGGGACTGTGCTGGAGCACTCACGGTCCTTTTTGCATGCTCAAATCTTTTAATTTCACAACAGGACATGCTCAGTACCATAGGACATACTCCATCTACTACACCAGAACACAGGATATACAAATGCTGCTGCAAGTGTCATCAATGTTTAAAAAAGGCTGAAAAGGACCCCTCTCATCCACTCCATGAAAGTCAAACAAGTACTAGGATCCAGATCCCAGTTGACAGATGTGACACTCTTACAAAATTCCATACTTGAGTGGAGATGCTACACAGATGGATAGAAAGAATTGCATGCAATTGTCCACCGCCACTTGTGTGAATTTCCATCCATTATTCAGCTCACATTAATGGGTGGAAAAGATACTCCCCATCCAATGTTAAATCCACCTCAAGAGCCAGATACTTTAATCCATGGCACAATTTCCATGCGGGTATTTAGAATGACGTGTGATACCATTATACTTCACACTCAATTTCTGAACTCGTAGCCTTAAATGTAAATTTAAAAGGATGATATCCAAGACGTATGAAACGTCATTATATGGTGAGTTTGGTTTGTGGAAAAAATGAATGAAGTAAAGATCTATAGACACAAAAAGGACCCCGACTGCAACATACAAGGAGCGCTCTCGCCTCACACAGCGTTCACCACGAGATCACGACCCAGGGACAATCGACACAACCGGACCTTCACCTTTCGGCGAAGAATCAGCGTTCTCCACTGTTTTTGTTTTCGACCACACGTGGTGCATGAAGGGTCCCAATAACCTAAGCCCGCGTCATAATTGCCACATAAACTGTAGTGAGGAAAAATTGTTTGAAATGGGAAATCGAGAATTGCTTTTAGTCCTGTAACTGCAAAGTGCTGGGAAAATAATAGGCTTAATTCTTTGATAATTTTTATCTCAGTCATCTTATTTTTCATGTCGACTGAAGGTAATCATTCCTAATTAAGATTGCCATTAGTTCTTTGCGTTTCGCAACGGCTTCTCTTTTGCGTTGCAGCGGTCGCCATTTTGTTCACAACGTTGGCGTTCGTAGCGTCGGGGGTCGGCGCGAAGCGCTCGTGGAGAGCTGCGAATTGAAGTGATTGCGTAGATATTTTTGTGGTTACCTACAACCAGAACACTTGCAAAGCGTGCTCGGAACACGGTTTCCTGCGGGGCTTCGAGTACTACAGTGAAATGGTGCATTTGTGGTCAGGACTGGCCCATTGGAGATAGGACGAGACTGCAAGCACCGGACGTTCGTTCAGGTCGTCTTTTGGGTACGTTTTTCACTTCAGGTGTTGGCGTGGATTTTAAGGACATTTCCAGCGTTTTAGGGACATTGCAACATAAAATTAAACATCTGTTGCAATTATTGCGCCGTGAGTTACATGCGCGGAAGTCACCAATTCAGGCGCATGGAGAATATTGCAAGGAATTGTGCTGTTTCAAAAAATAGTTGTATTGAAATGACTCCTAACACATTTTAAAGTAAAGCAATAACCAATTGATCATTATTTGACCTGTCTGAGTTTGGGTTGTACGTGCTAGGATCAGAGTGCATGTGACTTGGTTGGTCATGGGAAGCATTTCATTGGTTATTGCACACTGACTGGCAATGTTCTATGCACATCACCTTTGAGCATGGAAGAAGCATGCATTCAAATAGAATACACAAAGCAAGTCTAAAAATCAGCCACTGCAGGGTAGTTTGTGACATCTGGGCTGATTAACCCTTGCTGCTCTGAATTTTCAAAATATTTTGGGAGCATTTTGGCTTAAAAATTTGGTTGGTTATCAGACTGGGAGCCTGATGGGACCAGGACCTACAGGCCTAGTGGCCTTGTATAATTCTGGATCACCATAAGGCAAGGTTAGGTAAGGAAAATAAGTTGTATCTGGCATCATAATTTTTGGGTCAGGGTGTACTTTCCTACCTAACATTAGAAAAAATCATTGTACACCATTTGTCATGTTTAAGGCAGGGCATATCATAAATAATCACAAAACAGGTAGATTCATGCTCTTACCTTCAAATTGTTTACAATTACGATAGCGAGCTCCCGAGCGCCACACACACACACACAGTAGCCGCGACACCGGCGCCATTACTGTGCGCGGTCACAACATTACTGTGTATCAAGCACCATCAAGAACCATAAAAATGTACTGGGCCCGAGAAGGATAGTTATCTGTGTTATTAGGCCAAATTGTTGTAAAGTTAATTCCCTTGAAACCATCATTCACTGTCATACTTGAATGTTTGCTGTGGTCCTACTGATTTGGTATACCATAAAGCATGATTTGCTCCATATGTCAATTCAATAATTTATACCTTGATATTTTGATGGTTGCTCCACATATTCCAATTTCTGACCCATCTTAGCTGCAACAAGATCTTATCAACATGAACCTTGGTTTGCAGACCCAGCTATATGTGTCAAAATTGATGGTGACCATGTGCCAAACTTAAGGTTCTCAGGTTTGCTGTGTACATCAGCTGAAATTGTTGCCAGCATGCCACACCATGCTGGACATGGTTGACATGACATGGCACCAAGTTCTTATTAAGGGTTTAGATTGCTGTGTGAAGCTGGTCATAAGCAGTTTGTGGTGATCAGGAAGAGCTGCTCTCCTGCAACAAGGGTTGCATTCAGGTTTGGTATTTGCCTGTTGCTGAGTAATGATATCTTTGGTGACCAACCAGCCTGCAAAACATGGCAAATCTTGACAAAGTCTGGTAAGATGGTTGGGGCAAGAATTAAGATTTGGAGAGGCTGTGGGAGATGTGGAGCAGGATTTTTTTTCAATTCAGCTTGCTGACATTAGTTTGAGGGCATTGAACTGGCATTCCACCACTTCCACAGAATAGGTAAACCAGCCACAAACAATTGCACATCAGATAGGCCAGTAGTTTGTATGGCAGGTGCAAAGCTGTGAGGTAATATCAGACATGGCTATTTTTCTTTTTCTTAAGTTTGGTACTGGTACTGGCCTTAATTACCCTTACATTCCATTGAACTAATACATGACTTGTAATGGGCAGTAGAAGAAAAGGGTGACTCTAGGATAGCAGGCAGCACAGATGTAATGATGGGGCTGTATGTCAACACTGGATACAGCAATCTTAGTGAGATCTCTGGACCAGAATCTTGCTCATATGCTTTCTGTTTTAGGACAAAACTGTGGTGTGATTGGTGCCTGTTTTTGGGTTAGATGCAGTAATTGGCTGAAATGCTTTTTAGCAGGTCAGGAATTCGGTTGATATTTCATAGCGTGCATCTATAGATGTTTTGCAGGCCTGCAATGCTTAGATTATATCAGATTTTCCATGCCAGCCATCTGTTATACATTCTGGTTGAACTGATCTAGCAGGTTTGGTATTCTGTGTATCTTATTTTGTATGTGGTGAAAGGTAGTCATTATTTTTGTCTTAGCAATCAATGATAATTATTTTTTGTTCTCACCAGTATTTTCAACCAAAGTTGTGACCACCTGGAGCCTGGTATCCTTCTTCAAATGTTTGCCAGATGTGTTTTTGACACCAACTTTCCCTTTTGAATTAATGGCCACCCTGAAGGAGTGATTGTTGGCAATACATATTGACAGTGACTTGAAATGCAGCGCTGGGTTTCAGGTGCACACAACCTGCCACAAATTGAATTGATGGCCCCCTGGTTTTTGTTAGGATTGGGTCTTCCCCAGCTGCTCAGGGACATCTCCTCTATCATGGCCCACACTACTGATCATTGTTTCACTTCATTATAAAATCCGCATGGCCCCAATAGTTGATATGTCTTAAAACACTGGAAGCAATGTAAGTGCTACTTTCTAAGAATGTTAAAATCATGCTGCATGACCACAGGCTTCATCAGCCCCCAGTCTAAGGCACTGGTAAGTTTGCAAGGTATTCAGTGTTGCTCTAGAATGAAAATAAGAAATTGTGGCAAGATGGCAACCTTTTCTCATGCTTCCAAAGCTTCAGCTGGAATTCAGGAAATTATTTTAATCATCTGCACAGATGTGAAGGAACTAAACTTTTAGCTGGCAATGTGTCTGGGCCTGCATTTTTAACTGTTGTGTTTGAGAGACATATTCTGTCTGTTTTCAGCACTCTGTCACCATGTCGGTGTTCTACAAGTTTGCCTCGTCCACCGAGGTGAACACAGTGGTGTTTGATGGCGTGCACATCTCGGTGGCCGACCTCAAGCAGGCCATCATGGACCAGAAGAAGCTGGGCCGTGGCACAGACTTTGACCTGATTGTCACCAACTCTCAGACCAGCGAAGGTCAGTTCCCGCTGTTTGGTGGTGTCTGCGTGGGTGATGCTGTTCTGGCCCCCAGGCTCAGTTCTCAGGCCCGCTGAGGGCTAGCCGGGAGTGGGCCGCCCGGCACTTTGTTGTGGTGCATGCAGTCTGCAGCTCAAGCATGTGACTGTATGGCAGGGGACAGCAACAGAAAGGCTCACCAGTTTTGTCTGAACTGAAAAGCTTTCTAGGATGGATCCTTTGTGTGTCCCTGTTCATGTAGGTTATCATTCCAATGAACAAGACATTGAATACCCTGTCAATGGGATTCAAGTCAAAAGTTTTGCCAGAGCTAAAGGGACTCACATTGAGCAGGTGACCCAGGCCATGTGTGACCTATGCACATGTTGTGTATGAAGTGTCATCTCATCTTTTTGCTGTCATCATTCATAGTGAGAGTAGATGTGTCCAACTTGGTTGGTAATGCTAGTTTTCTTGAAGTCCTTCTGAATAGCTCAGAATTTGTATGCAAAGTAGGCACCCTGATCAGAGAAATCTTGTTGGAACCCCAATATGCCACTAGTAAATTAGTTCTTTCCATTTGTTTGGCTGTAATGTTCTCAAAACACTGATTGTTCAAAATTACTTGTTCAAGAAATGGTATGAGAGTCAAACCTTCCATTGAGGGAAAAAGATATACATGGATTTCATCTTATGTCATTGGTTACCTATCATATCATTGACTACCTTTACCATTATCACACAAATTTTGGCTACCTTTACCATTATCACACAAATTCATTGAAAGGTTACACTACATTTTCTGTTTTTTCCCCAAGGCTTTTGGCATGGAGACTTTTCAACTGGTACTTTGGCTTCAGGAAACATTGTGCACATAAATGCTGATTTAGTCTGAGCTTGTGTTTACCAATCAGTTACATACCAGCAGAATATGACATGGGTTAATGACACACATGTTCCAATTTTCACCAATGCATGTCTTGCCAATGCTTGCACTGAGTGCCGTACCAATTACAAACATTCGCTTCCACAAACCCATACACAAATGTGATGTGTGCCTACCTCTCTAATCTTGGTGGTTGGAAGTACCACTTACTGTGGACAAAGATATTTTGCCCCACATTGCCTCAAAGTAGTCCCATCATGAGCAGACCAGCTTTGACTGGCATTAAATGATAGCAAAAATATTGAGCTATGCCTGAGATGGGGAAACAGAAGTGGGCCTAAAAAGGTAGTTTTGCATGGGGAAATTCATAAACCACAAATCCTGGGGGGGGGGGGGGGGGGGGCAGGGTGTGAAGTCTCACCAGCTAGATCAGGTGAATGGGCACCATATGACCAACACAGTTGGTGCACCCCAAAGCCCAAATCATCACCAGCTAGATCAGGTGGGGGTGCGTTTTCCATGCTTTCCCAATCCCACTGGTGATTGCACCTATGACAACTATGAAGAAGTATTGGAATTTGAGGAAACAGGCAAGTGCAGCATGTCCATCCATGAAAAACTCCCAGAAAGTTATTTTGGAAGCAAAAAATGGGATATTGCAACATTTTGAACATCATACAGTGTAACATATAAAAGATAGAATAAAGAAGTTTGAACAAACTATGTATGAACACAGAAAAAAATATGTGATCATGTTCTAGCATGCCTTTGTTCACTTCCAGCCCATAAATAGACCGATTCTTTTATTAAAAGAGTGCATTGTTTTATCTTAAATGATGCAGCATATAATTTTTATACAGGGATGGAATGCTTGTGTGCTGTAAAGCATAAACCAACTTCATAAAGCATAAAGCGACTTCATGAAGCGATTTAATGATGCAGCATCTACCCTTTTATACAGGGATGCAATGCTTGTGTGCTTCTGTAAAGCATAAAGCAACTTCATTTTAGTGGAACTTGATGAAGCTTTAACCTCTTAATTCCCAGTCTCATTGCCCCTTGCTGAAGTTAAGAGATTATCATCCTGCAAAATGTGTGGCCCAATGAGCTATGTTGGCATACTGCACTGGCAGAATCTGGTGGGTATAACAATATGGCTGCACTCAAGCCAGCAAGCCACCTTTGCTATGGAGAAAACATAGCACAAAGGTGTTTTGGATTCCTACACTATGCAGTGTGCTCTGTTCTTCATGATTACAGATGAACCTGTCCAGATTTTCACTGGCAGAGTGTAACAAAAACAGAGGAGTATATGTGCATGGTACTGATTACAGAAAAAGGGTGCAAAAGCATCACATTCCCATCCTCACTCATGACGTGAAGGAAGGTAATGAAAGGAATGAGCATGCTGATACCAAATGACAACTTACGATTGCTGTCTTTGACTGGATGTTTCAGCACAGCTGCAGGCATTTTGCTGTAGCTGTTGTGTAATTTTTACTTTTGGCCAGCTTTTTGGTAAAAAGAGCACCAATATTTACTTTGAAAGATGCAACAGCCACAAATTATTTTGAAAACTACCCAGAGCACGTTGAGCAGGACATCGTGAACATTTTCCCAACCTTCCATTGCATTTCCACATCTCCACACCACTGCCCCAAGTCGCTGAAAATCATCCAGCATAATTTGTGGCCCAAGGAACCATGCTATTGCAGTAAATGATGTGTTCGTGAATAAACCATACTAAGGTGTGAAACAAAATGAATACAATAGCAACAATAGTGCATGTTCCGAATCCAGCCAACCATTTGTCAGGTCTGTAATTATTGCAACAGCACAACACAATAGTGTTTTGAATTCCTACACTTCTCTCATGTGTGCTGCTCTCTATTGTGTCAGCTTAGCCTGTCCTTTTTTCTTCTTTTTTTTTGCTAGCAAAGCTTAAACAAAATAATACATGGTTTTCTTTTCACTGCCTGTATGCTATGGATGGCTCACGTCTATGCCAAATGAGAACCTCTGATTGTGGCTTTTGGCCAGGTGTTTCAACATGGGGTGTAGATGTTGTTGGGATGTAAGTATGCAGTATTGCTATTGACTGGCTTCTATGTTATATGAGCACATTGCTAACTGAAAAAAATAAACCATCCGATTTTTTCAGTGAAATTTGGCCATTGCATGTTGAGCATATTGTATCAGCAAAGTGCCGTAGTAATCGTCCAGCATAGTTCACGATCCAGTGGGCCCAGCATACTTCGTACTTTACTAGCAAAACGAAATTGATAAAATAACTATAAGCACATTTACCCAGCTGGGCAAACGTGGTGCGTTAAAGTGACAGCACAGCATCATGGTTTTTTGAATTCTTACCATTGCGCCAGGCAGTGTTTGTTGTTTGTTGCAATATCAGGTGCCTGTCCAGTTTTTGTTTAGTTCTTGTTTTTTTCAGAATTGGACAGAAACACAGGAAAGATCAAGGGACGCAACGTTTTATTGCTACCAATGAGACATAAGCGACAACACAACATATCCTTCATTCACTGCCTGGATGCTGGCAATGGTCCATATTGATATGAAATCAAAACTCCTGAATGTGCAGATGGTTTAGTTAGCGTGCAAATGATGTTCTTCTGTAAATATAATGGCGGTTGGGGGATCGTGGGGATTTTTGTCACCTTAATAGTTTCAGAATTTACGTACTAGGCACGAATTCGGCAAGGGCCCAGAATGGTCGTGGGCTGGCACACAGATGTCATCTTGCGTGCGCCAGTACCTCCTGCGACGGGATGGCATGTGAGGGTGCTAAGAGATGAGTGTTGGTTTCCCGGAAGATTAACCGTATATTTTGGGCTCAAAAGTAGGTAAAATGATCCCTTATATTATCCTGTTGGTGATACAGTTGCATTCCTTGGTGGTTTTGATATTCATGACGGACTCTTAGGGTTCACTAGACCAGTGTCTCTGAAATTTGTTCCAAAGGTGGGACACTCCCTTTGATCTCGCATCTGCGCACAAGTTTCGACAGTAAGGTAAGGCTCCAAAACCTCGGCTGCCTTACGTCCGAAGCCTCTTGCTTGCTGGCTGTAAAAGCAAGCCTTTTCCTCGCATCGTTTCAAATATTTGGCAGCCTTCCAAGCATTTTGCGCGCCACGTTCTCTCAGCATCCCTGTGTCTGGACGGACAGAGCGTCTGGCGCTGACCAGAGTGGCGAGCATCGGGGCTCTTGACCCTGAAACGCGCTCATGCATCACGTGTTTGACTGCTACTTGTGAACTTGCCAGAAAGAGCGAGAGCGAGAGATGGTCGATCTGAATGGCAGCTTCCGGCTCAATGCCGTGACATTTCGTGACACGGTATAATCCCAGCAAGCGCCATCCGTGGAGCTGGAATCGCTCCACATGGCGCGTGAGCGAAGTCGTCACAAGAGTTGCGCGTAGCAATGACGCGGGGCCCGAAATGATCACCTTCAAAACATTCGGCATTTATGATGAGAATGCGATTGCGGCCGGTGACCGAGTTCATGGCGGCATGCGACGAGGACCAGTGGATGAGGATGAGGAGGACGAGGACCATTGGATGAGGATGAGGAGGACGAGGACCAGTGGATGAGGATGAGCTGGTGATCGTGTTAGAACGAGCGTGCGACTTTGCGGACAGTAGGGCGTGCGCGTTAGAGTCTTTTCCATTGGTCCACCCGGCCAACCCTTATACTCCAGCGAACCAAGGAGCAAATTAACGCCATTCATTCGGTTCATCCGAGGAGACATAAAATTGCAAGCGTAGTGCCCAGCGACATGAAAGGAGCACGGTTTGAGTAGAAACATGTTGACCGTGTCAGTACATCTATGCAACCCTACGCGTAGCTGGCCACGCGCGCACATTCCGGCCCAAATCATCAGCCAACCATCCTCACCCAAGCGCCTCTCCACTCGAGCCACCTCTCCAAATAAGCTCATTCTAGCGTCACGAAGTCTCACTAGGCGGACGACTGGCATCGGATGACAGCTTATCAATCGCTCGCTGTCAAGACGAGCGTGCTATCCCCGTCAGGGAGTCGGCGTTGTCATCAGGAAATCAGAGGCCCTCCGTTGGGATGCTCTGGATCAACGGTCCCACTCTCAAAAGTAAAGTCCCAGGCGCTCGGCTCTGACAAAGCCGCCTTGTCCGTCCGGTCGGCAAGCGTGCCATTGCGGACTGCTTGGTAAATGTTTGCCCCAAAAGATGTACAGAATCACACGTGAGTTGCGTGACACGGAGAGGTGGGTTGAAGGCGTGTGGTGTAGGCTAGAACAAGCGTCCCGTAAGGGATCTCTTCAAGCGAACATCTGGCAGACGCACCCTGACGGAATATTGGCGCTGAACAAAAAAAGAGAAGAAAAAAAGAATCCGTCCAAGTAAGAGGCTTGAAATCTGCGCTTGAACCGTGACAAGCTCCTGGCTTCATCAGTGGGACCAACTTTCGTAGTAATTTTATACGCGGTTAAGTTGGGCGTAGGTGATGTGTGCCCCTGTAACTCAAGAACACCCAAGATAACGAACGGACATGTGCCCGAGGTGGGGAATACCTTTTGCACCACGCGACACTCTTGAGTGATTATCACCAAAGCTGTGGGTGGACGAGCCGTGTCGGTACGAGACGAGACGAGACGAGACGAGACGATAAAATAACATTATTTGACCCCAAAACGTGCTTCAGGTACGACCGCCTCTGTAGTGGAACAAGGTCCTCTTTGCGGAAACGATGCGGATTTGTCGCTGTGCTTGCACTCGGTGTGCGTGGATTCAATTGTAATTCATATGCCCGACTTGGTAAACGCCTGCCGGCGGGTGGCAGGCTGCTTACCAAAAGTCTCTACACTGGACGCTTCCCCGGTATTCAGCCGGCGCTGTGCCCTGGTCATGTCCACTGGCTTTGCAGCCTCGCGCCGAAGGGGAAGGAGTTTCAACGGGTCCGGTCTCTGGCCATGGCGGATGCTGCGTCAGGCTTCGTCCCGACGCGGCGTGCATGGAGCGTGCGTGGCACGGAAGCGTGCTTATACGCCATGGGATAGCACGAAGCGCGTTTGCTGCGTAGTGAATGCAAACGTTGTCACTGATTCATGGGCATCGCCCACCTCGTAATTGATAGGGCACGGTCTTCACACCGTGCCTTAGTTACATTTGTAATGTGCATTACCGGTTATGTACGTTGCCCTCATCGTATTAAATACAACACCATTGTGAAACATCACGAGATGCTTTGATGTTTTTTTTGGATATATTGAATGTGGGGTCGTTGAACGACCTCACATTCGAGCATTTCTTGAAAGTGAAGTCGTTCACCCGCACATTCAAGAAATGCTTTGAAACAATGATGTATGGGCAGGGATTTGCTGTCATTGAGCAAGACGAGCCCCTTTCCCCCAACACACTTGGTTTTAACATTATCGTCGTCTGCCGATATTCAACTTCGTTTTTAAAGCACTAACAAGCGAAAAAGAAATGTAAGACGGGGGATCACGGGATCACCTAGGTACTTGCAACATAAAATACATGGTCTTTATTTTCGTGGATTATGTAGTTAGTGTACCCCCCCCCCCCCCCCCTCTCTCCCGTGGGGCTTTACGGGTGGAACTAGTCCCCGTTTGGTCTGGGCAACACAAATCTGCCCCCTCGCATGACCTAAAAAAGAGTGACCACTGGCGGCGACATGGGAAGCCTCACCAGGTCGTCATACCGTGCACGGGCACAAGCGCAGTTGGAACGCATGACAATAGCCGCATTGCCATAGTCAGTATTCAAGAACCAACCGCAAAAACTCCTTCCTACGGGAGAGCTATGGCGTCAGTTATATGCGACATTACTTCTGCTCGAAAATGTTTACAGACCATATTTACACGCGACGTTATTTCCGCTGCAACGAGTTGAGTGTAACCTTATGCTTAACAAATCCAAAAGTAATGAATGGCTTCTGCGAAAAGTAAATTCTTGTCAGTCATTTATCTGCTGCGAAAACCTGTACAGGCTTTACTTTTTAGTGAGCTTACTTCTTGGTTTCTTCTTTACTTATCATAACCTCTTTGACCAGTGCGTAAGTGTAACATTTTCATGTAAGTACCCGTAGGTTGGGGTACTGGCTTACCTGTAAACCAGAATCCCGGAGGGGACGAACACATGGGAGCGCTTGACGGGCGAACTCAGGCTGGAGGAGGCTGCTCCATGATGTTGGTACGTTATTGCTGCTGCAGATATCACGATCGACAGTCCCACGACGGCAATCGTTCTACGCGACTTAATAATTGTTTTTGTTGAAAACAGAAGCGCATGGTGCACTGCCGTAGTATTGCAAGTCGTGGGCAAAGCCGGGAAAACCAAATCTACTAAAAAATGCATGAAAAACATGGCGTTGGCGCCGAATGTGCTACACCTTCCCATCACAGACGAGTGGTGGATGGAGTCTCGGACTGAAGACGTACTGCACCGCTTGGCCCGGTGTTCACTGGAAAGCGGCATAGGTTCTTCTGCCATGACTTATGTAAGGCTCTAGCGCTACACGGCAAAACTAATACTTCAAAACGTCCTACATGTCATTGATGTTTTGCTAGACACAGCCTTCGCTCATACGTCAAGTACGTTCAATTGCCAAATAACGGAGCAGAGTGAAGAAAAATGATAATCCATCGCGTCGGCTCCACGATCTCTAATTGCGGTATTACCCAGGTGGGGTTTCTGCCTGACTTGCAGATTATTCCCTTTGTGTATGTATAGACTGTAAAAGTTTTTGCTGTAAAACTCATGACAGTAAGTATAAATTTGGTTGTGAAGGACTTACGTCGGGTGTAAGTCCGCAATAGAAGTGATGCTGCCTTAAAGCAATAACTATTTAATTTGCAGCATAGGTAATGGCGAGCATAAGTTTTTGAAGCACAGGTTTCGTCTTGTAGTGGTAATGTCGCGTATAAGTCTTCGCAGGATACGTAATGCCGTCTTTAATATGTTTTTGCAATATTAGTAACGACGGGTGTAATTTTTCTGAATGTAGGGTTTGTCGTGTAGCATTTGTCGCGTGTGCGTCTTTGCGGTAGAAGTAATTTCGCGTATAAGCCATCTCTGTATAGGTTTTGGCAGCATAAGTAATAACTGGTACACATTTTTGCGGTATAGTTTGGTTGCGTAGCGCTAATGTGTACATGTATTCGCAGTAGAGATAATATAACACTCCTGTCAGGAAGGTGTTTTGTTGTGGCCGATCGGTAGGATTTTTTGTTACGGCACTAATGTCGTGGAACCCCTTCAAAGGATGTGTGATACAACAACACAGCACGAATTGCTCCATTGTGAAATGTCGCATGGCGCTATGTGGCGCCATGCCGTGAGGTCGGTGCTTGTAACTAAGGCGGTGTCGGTGCTCGTGAGTTGGAGCTGCTTCGTTCGCCCGGTCCGTAAGGCAGCTGTCGCTTATCCGCCCTCTCGGAGCTGAGATCTGACATCAGGTATTTAAGAATACCCCCTGAGTGAGAGCGTCTGTGGTCTAGGCACGAGTTGTATTCGAGGTTATATTTGCAGTTGTTGTGCTAAGGTTTGTGAAAGGTTCACGAGTTGGACGGGACAAAATCGGTATGGAGTAATTGCATTATCTGCAAACACCGCAACTTGTTATGAGCAGGGCCCGTAATTTACCTGCTTTCTGTCTTTCAGCACCACCCGCATGTTGATCGTTTTATTTTGGATGCAGACGGAACTTCTCAACCCGCCAACCCGCTAAGATCAGACCCGCAAGAACCCACAGACTTTTGGCTGGGCAAACAAATCCATTTTTGTTATTTCCCGATTTTTTTAGTTAGTTTATTTTTGTCACGTGTGCTACGGGCACCAAATGATCACTGCAGTCAGCGGCGCTCCCAAAAGCCCAATAAACAACAAATAACTGTATGCTTGCTATTTATTGTTTCTTAGTCTTCACGTGCTTTTCGTGCGTTTTGTTATTCTTTTCTCCAAGTATCATCCAAAAATTGGAGTGTGCTGTCAAACAATGCAATTGTGCGGATAGCTGGCAAATGGCCACTGTTTTCGACGCGCCAGAAACACCCATTGAAGAACATAGACGCTGTCGACGCTCCCCGTCGAGGCCGGGCCTCGGCGGCACGACCGTGTGCCACTTGACGTCGCCGGGTCGACTGAGCGCCGCGCTCTGTCCGCTTCAGAGTACAAGCAGAACGACATGCTGATACCGAAGAACACGTCGCTGGTGGTGAAGCGCGTGCCGGCGGCGAACGGCGCTCCCGTCAAGAAGTTCTGGTAGGTGCCCGGTCTCACCCCCAACCCCCTCTCACGGCCACCCCAGGTGCTGCGCTATGTGAGGTGGCCGCTGGCGCTGCGTGGTGACGCAGTCGATGCGTCCAAACGTCCCGTGGTCATCAGCGGTAGCGTCGCTTCCTGGTGACACCTTGATCTTGATCAACCGTTTTTTCCTCTGACGGCCGTGCTGAAATAACTTGTTGCCTTGGCTCGTGGTATCCGTTGGGACTACTTTCTCCTGACACGTGTTGCGCCGTGGCTGAATTAGTGACGTCAGTCGGAGTCCAGGAATGTCGTGCGCTGTGTAGCACGCCTCCAAAACGGAGCGGGTAGCTGCCAGTAAAGTATGGTTGCGTCAGTTGATATAGCGTGGCACATGCTCACAGTTAATGGTCAGGACTTATCACGTTTGACGTAGTTGAACAGCGCAGCGCTGCATGCAAAAGATTGGTGAGCGTAACACTGAAGGAGAGATGAGGGGACACAAACATATCAGGCAATTCGTTTCTGGGTTGAGAACGAATGATGCCTGTAGACCGTTGTATCACAGGCCGCGACCTGAAGGCCGCAATGTCAATATCAGCTTGAATATTTTGTCGGCATTTTGGAACTCACGAAAGCCGCTCAGGGATGGTGCCACAGGTCACGGCAACGTGCGAGCCTGCTTTTAAACGACTACGAACGTACATCACGGGATTAAACCTCATGCTACATGTAAGAACATTTTAGATTGCGTAGTGCTGAACATGCACACAAATATCCCAGTGTGCCACCTATGAAGGAAGCCACTCCGCGCGCAGACCAGTGGTGACAGCACCAGAGAGCGGTCAATGGAGGCACACGAAACTGTCAGACTGAAAAAGTTTGTGTTCCGGTGGTTGACAGACTGAGAAGGTTTGCGTCGTGAGTGGTTGAGTTCGTCTCAATCGGCGCGAAATGACCATTGTAATCGACACGCGCTCTGACCCAGCAAACAAAGCAGCCCTAGTAAACAACACCAGTTGAGTTCGTTGACTGCCATCCTGCATTAATGCTAGCGTACCGCGCCATGGACTTGTGCAGTCTACAACGTAGCGTCAGATAGCACTGGTTTATCGTATGCCGATGGAGAGTCGTGCAGGGCCGCTCCTCACTCGTGTCGGTCGCTTTAAGTCTTGGGTTAGGGTTTGAACACGGCATTGATCGGCGCCGTTCCAGCCTCTGCGGCTACTAGCTGTGTATTTAATTGGGCAGAAGGCGATTAGCGGCGGAAGATGTTGGGCTATTACCGCTTTCAGATGTTTGTGACTAGTACGATTATGGCGTACCTGGTGATACTACGACGGATTTGTTGCATGCTCGCCAGCTGAATTGCAGAGTTGGTGTGAATCGCTGTCCATCGGTCGTTTTTGACACTGAATCAAGCTGGTCACTCGTCTTGCACAATGCCCACATGTGAATTAGTTGCGGTCCGAAAAAATGAGCTGCCCAGTTATGATGTTAGTGATCGAGACCAGGATTCTGCTGGCGTCTGAGGCCGAACTCGATCTTCCCGACGTCACTAGCCGCTCGTTGCCCGCCTGGGAACGTGACTGCAGGCAGCGGGCCGGTCTGGCGCGAAACCCACACTGGCGGCGCGCCGCTGATCTGGGTGCTGCCGTTTCAGGGATCCGAACGCCCCCAAGATGGCCACCATCACGCCGTCGTTCGCCGCTTCCGTGCTGGTGAGTGCAGTACTGGCCAGGGGGCTCGCCGTCACCGGCTCACCGAACGTTTCACATAATGACTGTGTGAACGTGGATCGCTTTGATGCGCTATATTTATGCGTGCGCGATGCGCCAGTTGATATTGCCGCTTCGTAAAGACCCGCCTCCGCCGCCCGAAGCATTGCCAGTTATGCATTGAACGGGTGCGGCTTCGCCGTCGATAACTGGTTGGTGTAAAGAGCTCGGCCCCTGCGCTCCCGCCGCTTGAGCCGGCGGCGGCTGCTGTGAGTGGTTCGGTCCCTGCACTGCCGCCAGTAAAGCCGGCCGCGGCTGTTGATGACCCTTGTCAGCGTTCCTTAATGCCGCAACCCCGTGACAAAGCGGCTGCGGCCGTTGTTCCGCGAAGCCTGGCTACGCCGGTCTCCAGTTGCGGGTCTTCTGCGTTGTGGAGCTCTCTGAACGGACCGGTGATGTCGGGCCGCATGCTATTGATGTGCACTGAATCGACTGACGCGAGTCGCTCTGTCGCAGCCGCCGCCGGTGGCGTCAGTGGAAGCCGTCTCCGGATCGTCCGTCTTCGCTGGGGTGAGCACCGCACGGTCCTGGGCTGCCAGCGCGGGCGCCGGGGGCTCACCTGTGGTGACGGTCCGCCGCTGTGACGGGCAGGGCCGGTCGCTCCGCGATGACCGGTTGGCGCTACGTGGGTGGGTTCGTGAGCCGTGTGTCACGCCGCACTGAGAGGGTGCGTGATGGGACGCGGAAACGGCGCGTGAGTGGCCGGTGAGCCGTGCCAGTGGCAGTCCAGTTCCAGAGGCTGCCGGAAGGTGGGTGATGGAGAGGTGGCTAGGCGGCGACCGGTGACAAACCTGACGTCCCCCCGTCGTCGTCCGCAGAGCGACCTGACCAAGATCGGCGGCTCGGAGGAGGACAAGATCAAGCACATGATGTCGCAGTCGACCAGCCAGTACGACCCGTCCCGGTGAGTGAGCCGGGGCGGGGGCAGGGGCGGGGTCAGGGCTGGCCCGCCGGCCGGGCAGGGGCGCGAGACGCAGACCAGTGCCGAAGCTTCGGAGCTTGAGCGGCGGAGTGTGGAGTGAGGCCGGCGCTGGCAGTGTGGAGCGGGGCCCGGCGGAGCAGCAGAGGCGGTCAGCTGTCGGGGGCGCGGCGCAGCGGCCCGTGCCGGCTGCCGGTGACCGCTCGTCCCTGTCGGCAGGTACGTCAAGTACAAGGGCCAGCACTTGCTGACGCCGGCGCCCAGCAGCCACAAGTGCTACCGCTGCTTCAACTTCGGCCACTATGCCCAGAACTGCCCGCTGGCCGCCGTGAGTGAGCCGACGCGGCCGTGCGCCGCGGCGGGGTTGGACTCTGTGTGTGCTTTGGCATGCGTTGGAGCTGGCGGGGAGGGGGAAGCGTACACATTCGATCGGTTTCTTCTGAGTCAGTGCGTTGCATGCACTTGTAGCTATAGTCCCGCGTAAAGGCTTCTCATTTGTTATAGATAGCATCTGATTCGTTCACACCGTGCGCACAATTCTCAACATCTCGGCATTCCAAGTACCCCTTGCGCGTTCGGAATGGAACGGATGGTTTCAATTGGCGCTGTCGCTGCCCGCGTCGTAGCCTTTGGCAGTCTGGATAGGGTCGCCGGGGCCGCGGCCCTAAGCGTTCACCGAACCCGCGAACGTTGACGGTAGTTCAGAGTGGGCGCGCCAGGTGCGCTGCTGTTTTCACAGGTCACAAAGCCAGTGAGACACACGCGTGCAGCATGACGTGCGCGGCGAGGGATCGATAGCGCTTGTCGGCCGGGCGCTGTGCGTGCCTCCCGCGCCGGGCGATGCGGCGAGCGCCGCCGCCGGCCCTGCCGTCCGTGCTGACCCGCGCCCCGCCCCACGCCCGCCAGGCGGAGGTGAAGAAGGCGACCGGCATCCCTCGCAGCTTCATGGTGCGCGTGGACGACCCCAAGGTGCCGGGCGCCATGATCGCGCCCGACGGCAGCCTGGCCGTCCACCGGGTGGACTAGTGAGTGAGCGTGCCCATGCGGGCCGGGTGGGCCTGGGGCGATGTGGTCGGCCCCCTGGCCGTCACGCGGTCGCGTGGATGCCGCAACGCGCCGCGCGAGTGAAGCGAATCTGGCGTCAGATGCGCTCGAAAGTGCTTTGCATGTTAGTCGCCTAGTTTACCTAGACTCGATTGGCCCTCCGCCGCGATTTTCTGCGCAGAGTTTCCAGATCTAGACCCAGATCGAATGTCACACTAGCCGTCGCGTACCGATGCCGGTGTCATATTTTGTGGAGCGTGATGGCCGGTTGGTTAGCGCGTCGGGCTCCCACCTGGGGGACACGCGTTCGAATCCTGGTTGCGCAATGGCCCCGCTGATGTGACCAGTGCATTCGCTGGCGTTCCAGAAATGTTGCATATTAATGTTAAACGTTACGGCGCGCGTCACGTTTCCATTTCATAAAAAGCAAGGACGTGTTGTCTGGCGGCGGGGTGTGTGATGGTAGTGGTGGTGGTGACGGTGTGCGCGTGACGCCGCGTCTGACCGTGGCCGCGCGCCGCCGCCAGCTCGACCTACAACGACAAGCAGCAGGGGCGGATGGACACGCCGCCGCCGAGCACGCGGCCACCGGTGCCGGACGACCTGCGCTGCACGCTGTGCCGCGACCTGATCCGCGAGGCCGTCACCTCGCCCTGCTGCGGCGAGAACTTCTGCGACGAGTGTAAGTGGGCCGCGCACGCGCGCACGTGCGCCGCTGTGGGGCGGGACGGAGAGGGCGTCGCCGGGGAGACGGCAGTGATTGTTGCCGGGCGGCAGGCGGCCGGCGGCGGCCTTCAGTGAGGCGATGACACGCGCCGCAAGAATTAGAGCTGTCGGAAAGACTGGGAATGTTTGTTTCAATGGGGGAGGAGAGGCCGATTGATCCGCTCAATGGGCTGGTGAAGTCCGTCACTTGGTGCAAGAGGAGAGAAGGTTTTATGTTCTGATGTGCACTGTCGGATGATGGGTGTCCGCTTTGGCATCGTATTAGTACGGCGCCGGATGTTTGGAAGGTCGTGGCTGTGTGTTGTGATGGGTCGCTCGAGCGAGCTCGTTTGGAATCCCGGACTGGAGGCGGATCTTGCGTGCACGCGGACCCATTGCCAGCATTGGGGGGGGGGGGGGGGGGGGAAGGTTATGCGAAGTCGGCAGTGCGATACACAGGCCGACGCAATTTTGAGGGGAACGGCGGCAGTTCAGAGAGTAAAGCTGCATTCGTGCGTGCATGCGCTTAGGGAAGCCGCTGCATTAAGTTGGGCGTCAAGTCGTCCCGGAACCTGTGCGGGAGCGGCGCGCCGTCTGACGCCGCGTGTCCTCCGGCTCCGCGCAGGCCTGCGGACGGCGCTGGTCGAGTCGGAGAACAGCGAGTGCCCGTCCTGCCACCAGCCGGACGTGTCGCCCGACAACATCATCCCCAACCGCTTCATCCGCAAGCGCGTCGTCAAGTTCGAGTGAGTGCCGCCCTGGTGGGTGCGCGGTCGGCGCCAGCGCCACCGCCCCGCTGGGAAGTGGGGCAAGGCGGGCGGCGGAGGGACGGGCGGATCGCGGACGGCGTTGGGAAGTCGCGCTGCGGTGTTTTTGACCAGGGCTGTTGGCTTGAGCTAGCTGGGATGAAGTGGTGAAGGCCTTGTTGTTTCTTGAGCCGGTACGTTGTTAGACGGCATTAGCTTATTTGGCTCACTCAGGCCGGCATCATATTGCTATCCAGGATCAGTGTTTTTGATGCACCGGAAGACGTTGCAAGTATTGCATAAGAGCTCCTCGCACATAGCCATGTAAGATCCCCAAAATGTTTGCACTGTCGGCTTATTACACCTCTTGTTCATACGTGCGTGCGCGTGTGTGTGTTGGTGTGCATGGGGGAAGGGGAGGGGTAGGTGTTGGAGGGTGGGGGAAGATTGGAGTGCATTGGAGAGATTGTCAGTGAGCCGGGCGGCGTGCGTGACGCCCGTCGCTCTGCCCACAGGAAGGAGACGGACTACTGGGAGCTGGCTGCCCGTGAGCGGGAGGTGGGGGCGGCTGCCGCCCCACCGGCGCCGCCGCCGCCGCCGCCGCCTGTCCGCGCTTCGCCACCGGCGGTGGCCACGCCTCCGCCACCGCCGCCGCCGCCGGTGCAGGAGGCGGCCCCGCCAGCGCCCAGCGTCCCGACGCCGCCTCAGGAGCCGGCACAGGTGAGATGGTCATGTCGACAGCCCGTGGCCAGACTGGTGGGTCGCACCGGCCGCTCCGGCCGCACCGGCCGCACCGGCCGCACCGACCGCTCCGGCCGCACCGACCGCTCCGGCCGCACCGGCCGCACCGACCGCTCCGGCCGCACCGACCGCTCCGGCCGCACCGACCGCTCCGGCCGCTCCGGCACTGGCCCAGCTGGTGGCACGGGCTCACCGAACGCTTTGGCGGAATGGTGAAAGTAGGAATGCCGAGGCTTACCAGTTTTGCTCTCGGATAGGTGAAAGCTCGGATACTTTTGCGCACTCGCCGTCGATACATGCGGATGAGAAATGACCTGCTGGTGGATAGGGCAGCTAGTGCAAGTTGGCGCCCGGGCGTCTGGCTGACGGTGGCCTCGTCGTCGGCAGGTGTCCCCTGCGCGGTCGCAGCCCCGTTCACCGTCGCCGTCGCCGGCGGCGCGGCCGGGCCGGCCGGAGCGCGAGCGGCCCGCTTCGCCGGCCGGATCGCCGCCGGCGCGCGCGCCCTCGCCGCCGCCCGGCCAGACGGCAGCGCGGCGCGGCCAGCCCCGCGGCGCCCGCTCACCGCCGCCGCCGCCGCCGCCGCCGCCGCCGCCACCGTCGTCGTCGCAGCAACACTCGCCTCCTCGCTCAGGTAACCGTGTCGCCGGCGTCTCCGCGGCACCGTGCGCCGCCCGTCGCCGTCGCCGCCGCCTCCGCCTCTGCCGGCGGGTGCGCGCTGGCAGGGTGAGCCGGCCTGCGTCGACAACGGGGCGAGGCGGCTGGGGCCGGCGGCGTCTTGTCCGTTCCTGTCCACGTGGGCCGTCGCGGCCATCGCGGCGTCCTGACCATTGGCCGTGTCCTGTCCTGTCCTGACCTGACCTGACCTGACCTGACCTGACTTGACCTGACCCGTCCCGTCCCGTCCCGTCCCGTCCCTGTGTCCTGATGGCGCGTCGCCCCGACAGAGGGGTCCGCGGACGGCGCGGCCGACTCGTGCTCGGCGCTTATCTCACCGTCTCGGATCGTGGGCGACAGCGGCGCCTCGTCCCCGTCGCCCTCGCCGTCGGCGGCCGCCTCGCCCGGCGCCGGCGCCGGCCCCGGCCCCGGCCCCGGCCTCGGTCAGTACCCAGCGCGTGAGTAGGCACCGGCACCACGCTGGCAAGCTCGTGCGGAGCCGGATGCAGCTTGGATAAGGTTTATGCCGGAGCCGAACGTCGCATTCGCCACCTTTTGATACGTATAGTGCGTTTAGCAACGGATATTGACGACAATATATGCACGGTGCCAGGGCGGGCTTGTGGATCAGTAGTTAGATCTAGTCAGCCGTTCCAATGAGCTGTGCTCCGCGGGTGGTTACTCTATGGCTGTGTAGCGTAGCTTAGTCACGTTTCAGGGCGCAGACGCCGGTGCCGATCATGATCGTATTGATCGTGTGGGTGTGTTTATATGTGTATTGATCCGCGCTCGTCGCGATGTCTGTGCAATACGAGCTGTGGGTTGGCGCCGTGGGTGGGCGCCGCCCGCCCGGTACAAAGCCAATAAACGCACGACTGTGACGTGTTTGCGGTCGCCGGCCCGGGGAGTGCGCCCGCTCGCCGCCGTCTCGCCGCTGTCGCCGCCGCCGCCGCCGCCTCCGGTGCCGTTTACTTTATCCGCAAGCAACGCCGGGCGTCACTCGAGCTCAGCTGTCACTCGGGCGCAGTTGGTAATCGGTTCGTATCAGGACTCAGCAGACACGGTCGCCGCTCCGAGACTCAGGTGTCACTCGAGCTCAGCCAACACTCATCGCGCAGTCAGTAATCAAAAGACGCAGTCGCCAATTGGAAAGTCTATCACTCGAACTCAGATAAGACAGTATTAATAGCTTTATTCCTCGTAAAAAATAACAGGAGGATGGAAAGATGGATGCCGTGACCTTTTGACAACATGCTATCGAAACTATTATAAGAAGTAAATTCAAAGTTGGTGGCTGAAATCCAGGTGCGTATCGATCGTTTGCCCCTTTTGGAGCTAAATGTCATTTACAGGGCACGGGACCATCCATACAAGAATATAAGAGAATCTATTGTTATAAAAAACTATGACGAGGATTTAAAGTACAGGGCTTATCGCTGCCTATTGGGCGCACGTGGTGCCCCTTGATGTGTGATGCGTGTTTATGCAAAATAGTTAACGTGCGTGAATGATGCCTGACGCGCGATGCGCGGTGCCTGTTTGATTGAAATCGTTTGCATGTATAGTTAATGCATGATGCGCACTGCCCGTTTGCGTGAAATCGGTTGCATGTTTGAATGAAGCGTGATGCGTTATGCTTATTTGCTTGAATGCGCTTGCATGTACACGTATTTTTCGCGCATTCTAATTCTAAGATGTGCACTATTGTAGTAATGGCTAGCAATCGTTCCTTGTTTAATCCCCTTAATGTTGGTGACCCGTAAAAACAGTGGCTCGCTGTTAAAAAAACAAAATCGAATGGGATGGGGGGGGGGGGGGAATTAACTCTATTAGGTGTTTCGATGAAGGCATGTTGCCGAAATATCAACACGTTTATCTTTCTATTCGCCCGGTTTTTCTACAATGGAGAATGCTATTGCTATTGTCATACCTATGTGCATAATGTTCCTCACAAATGCACTTCATATCTTACGTAATTTTAATGTCTCGAACTCAGTTTCTAGTGAACTGGTAGTGCGCGCCCTGCGGACGCCGACGCCGCATTACCCGAACCCCAGGCATTACAACCCCATCTGTCCGTCCCGGTGGCTCAGTTGGTTAGAGCGTCTGCATTCCGACCCACCCATCCGTGGCGGGATGGGTTCGAGTCGCTTTAGGGCGCTCGCTATTTGCCCTTGGCAGGTATGGCCGGTGGCAGCGGTCGCGCTAAAGGTCAGTTGACGTCAGGGGGCAGGACGGACCGTACCGAGCATTGCGGCACGTCAAGCTTTCGCAACTAAATTCTGCCGTTGCCTGGAACTGCGCGATCGGATGGTGGGGGTTAGGGCTCACACAACAAGCACTGCTTAGCGTGAGCGCTGATCCCAGAAATCCATCCATTCAAAGGATTCGGACCAAATTTATTTTAAAAAAATTACTCAAGTGACACCTAGTTACGACTTGACTTTCGTAAGCCGTAACTCACCTGACACGTTGGCACCATTTGACTCCTGTAAGACGCAGCTGACCTGACACCTGGTCACCACTTGACTCCCTTAAGCCACAACTCACCTGACACCCCACCACTTGTCCCCCGTGAGCCGCAAGCCGCCTGACACCCAATCACCACTTGACTCCCGTAAGCCGCAGCTCACCTGACACCTAGTTACCACTTGACTCCCGTACGCCGCAACTCACCTGACACCTGGTCACCACACCTGGTTCCCGTAAGCCGGAACTCCCCTGGCACTTTGTCACCACTGAAGTAAACAGTTCTTCTGGTTACCACTAAACTGGCGTTTGGCCGCCGCTGAACTGACGTCCGGTCGGGGTCGGAGTGAGGCCGTTGCGACGCGCTGACCCGACTGCGCACGGGTGATGTCTTTGGTATGTATATATTTGGTATGCCTGGTGGCACAGGTGGTTTGAAAGCAAGAGCTGACAGGTTTAAGATGGTGAATAGAGTTGCGCGGGAAACAAATGCGTCTTTTTCCCGTAGTGCTTATTAGGTGTACTTTCGACGCCAAAACACGGTCCTGTCGTGCCGTCGAGATAGGGGATAGATAGCACGCATGGTTTGGGTGAGGTTGAAACCAGGCGGTCCATGTTAGGAGAACATGATGTAGGGAACAGCTGATTGAATGCGTGCGAAATTCTTTGGGAAGCCCGGTGAGCAAGCTGCAACAAAGTTGGTCACATCAGGCGCTGTCACGATTCGCAGACTTCAGTGAGATTACTCCCGACGTGATATTTACTTTATTGAAGGGTTCACCTTGGATGGTAAGAAGAGAACGAGACTAGTCAGATCCATCACACCGGAAATGCTTCTAGCGCTTAGTTTCACCACAACAAGATGCGTGGAACAAACCTTGTGGAGCGAAAAATTCAAACTCCTCCCGTCGTACGGCTCGTGGAGTCGCACTGCAACGAATCGTTCTGAAGCGCGCGGCTACCGCGGCCGCCGCGCGAGGCTGCTGGTCGCGTAATCATGGCCCCTCTCGCCTTTTATGTGTCGCCGTCGCTGGTGATGCGGTCTTAAGACTCTTCAAGCTGGAAGCCGTCAAGCGCATAGCTAGGGGTTTTTGATCCTTGAAGAGGGAATGGTTTTCGAAAGGACGTATTCCGAACGTCGTCATAGGGAGCACAATGAAGGGCCTGGTTGAAAAGGGTTCTGATTAAGACCAAAATGTAGCAGATTTCACTCCCTAAATGAGCGTTTATAAGCTTCCTTTTGTAAACGTCCCTTTGTTTTGGCGTAACAAAGGTGGTAATCAGCTAAAGTGCTGATATTGTAGAGATAAAATCGAGAACGAGCAGGTACCTTTCTCCTTGCAGCTGCGGCAGGCGTCTGGACTCAGTCCAGGTGTTCAAAGTCCATTCAGGGCGCGACTGATGCTTTGAACGCCGAACTTCCGCCTGGACTCGCCGTTTTTGTCATAAAGTAAATGAAGTGGGCGGTGGCCGGTCCTTGGAGGTACTGGTACTTGTTGGAGCAGAGGGGTGGTGGGCGGGGGAAGCATCCGTAAACACAAATATCAGCATTGGGCGCTTCCCGTCTTCCTGGGGATGGGGTAGCGGAGCGAGCGGTTTGCGCTCGCGCCTAAGGTTGGAAATAGCATTGAAGTTAAGGCGGTATGTGATCAGAAGCGAATCGTAATGCCTCCGAGCTGCTGACGTCATGGTGTAATGACGTAGTATGACGTTTATAGCCCAATCAATGGGTCTTATCTCCGCATGTGGCCCACGTCCCCCTCCAACCTTAACTGAATATGAAACTGCACCGGTGTTTCTCAGAGTAGGAGTGCAACTTCGTTCCTTTGATGTGCGGCGGTCAAAGCTCCTCCCTTCGTGAACAGTATTGGATGTACAGTTTTTCTCTTTGTCCACGCCAGAACACGGCTCCTGGTATTCGGCCACTTTCATCTTCATGGTACTCGGACGACGTTTTTATTCCACAGCGCTGTCGCTGGAACGCGCTGCGTCATTCCGAGCTTTTGAATTGGGAGGACTGGCTCAAGAACGGGGGGCTTTCTACCCACTAGAAACATACAGAAGTGTGTTGCAATCTTTCGCGTACAAGGTGGTTGCGGAGCTGAGTGCAGTCATTGATAGAGGTCAGGGAGACGGTTATGGTGGTCGACAAGCCCGTTAGCAAGGTAGAGTTCAAACGGCATTAAGCTCAGACTCCATGCCGTTTATATAAGATGACCGTTGAGGTCTTCTCTGGGCGCCAACCAGACGTTGGGGCCCGTGCTTGGGGAACCATTGCTGGTGACCACAGCTGGACAATGCGCAGAGCAGGGGTATGGGAAGGTGTGTAACCCCCAGAAAAAGCTGAAGGGTGCATAGAGGCTGGTCCAGAAGCCTGCTAGTAGGACGGTCCAGACCCATTGCAGCTGAAGGGGGTGGTTGTAGGGCGGCGCCCAGGCGAATTAATCGTTAGACCTACGCGAAGTAGTCGTTGGCGTCGTCGTTTGTCTCAGATTGTTTAGATTTATCGCAGATTTTCTGTCTGGAGTTGTTCTTTTTTCTGTCGGACTTTGATCGTGGTTGCGTTCGTGGCAGGATGTAACTTTACAAAGTCACTGGGCAGGAGTATTACAATTTGTTACGAGCACTGCAAGTTAGTACTACTTCCAGTACTAGTACAGGGCCCAGCTACCTTGGTACCCCAAATTATGTTTTCTCCCCT